CTTGCCGTTTCTCCTGGTGGGTGCAGCCCGGGCCGGCCTCCTCCCGTCCCCAGCAGCACATGGGAAGCCTGCTTCAGCTGCATGCTGCTTTTCCTGGCCAGTGCTGACCCGGTCCTGCCCAGGTGGGTACTGCAGCACCATGTCAACCTGGGTCATGGCACTAGTAGGCCAAGCGGGCCCCAGGTTAACCCCGGCCTGGCTCCGTCGCTTCTCCAGCACCAGGTCAACCCAGTTGTAGCCAAGCAGCTCCTGCAGGACCATGTCAGCTTGGGCATGCGTGCCATGTCAACCAGCACGTCAACCCCTGCAACTTCATTGGTGTCAAAGGTCACATGACATCACTTCCTGATATGATACCACTTCCTGTGACATCTTTGAATATGGCTCACCAGCCCACTGGGTGATAAAAAGTTCATGATCCAGCCCCACATTCAAAAAGGTTGGACACCCCTGGTCTATAGGGACAAAACATGTGGTCAAAGAGATTTTCCAGTAAAGTAAAAAAACCACATGAGAAGACCTTATGACTGAAACAGTGTCTCTCTACAGGACAACATGGTTGTTTTTTTGCCCAATAGAACCTGTTTGACTTTCGTATAAGATTCCATTCCCACTACCCTCTTCATATGTCATGTGTCTAACTACTTGCAATTGTTCTTTATTAACCTATTAAGCTAACTGAATGGAGCAAGGATACATTTTCAGACTTAAAACTTCTGCAGAGGAATTTCATTAAAATGCTTTTTGACATGAGGAAAATGGGTCTGCTTGACTGGTGGTGGTGATGGTAGAAATACTTGTTCCTAGATGCCTAGGTGATACATGTTACATATACAGCCTGTAGAGAGCATCCTAAACTATTAAAGCAAGCCCTGTTTTGCTACAGACCTTAAGAGAGATTTTACCATGGAGTTCAAACAGTTTCTGAATTGACATAAAATCCAAATGGCAAGAATAAAGGAAGGAAAGGCTAAAACTTCAGCTTATAGCTTAGCAAGGGAATTGACCATGCTCTTCTTTGAATCTGAGGTGAGGTTAGTATTTGGCCCACACAGCATCTAGGTAAGATGAGAGAGATCTGTCTTCTCCATTCCTGGAAAATACCATTTAACATGTTTGGTATAGATGCTTGGATGTCTGAGAAATTATGCTATTCAGAAATCCTTCCTCGTGCCAAGGCTAGTGAGTGTATTAATATTCAAACCTGGCAATAATGACAACAGAGTGGAGTTAAACAGGAATCCAAGTACATCTTCTTATGCAGTACTGCCCTAGAGAAGAATAAGAGATTCTTGTTTCTGCTGGATGTTCTGAGCTCACTGAAGCCAAGACTTCCAGACTTCCCTATCAGTTTCTTAGCCTTTTGTTAACTAGTTAATTTTGTCAGTCTTTTGTAAACATATGGCTGACATTCTTGTTCCAAGCTACATTGAAGTGCTGATGGACAGGTTGGCTCATTATGACTATAGGCCACTTTTTCTGTGGTGTTAGGAGCTCATCCTAATGCCAAATATGTTCTTTGTGTTTTGACTAGATGAGTGTATGAAGAGGAGGGAGCTATATTCTGAGTGGTTTAAAAAGTTTTTCCCTTGATCACACATGACATGCACCCAGTTTAAACCAAAGATCTAAAATCATTCCTATGCAGGTGGCACAAAGTGCCTTAGTGAACATGTAACGAATGGCTGGTTCATTCACTAGTTCTCGGTAGATAGTTGCCCATTCAACAAGTAACAGTTGCATTTGACTCTGATTAGACAGTGTTCCTGGACATAGTCAAGTCCTACTTGCTTCCCAAAAAAAGGAGGTTTGTAGTCTCCTAATACTACTGTGCGGGGAAGCTTACTTGTTCACAGAATAAACTACCAAATTCTGGCATCCATAGTAAAACATTTCATAAACACTACGTTCATTAAAAGTCTCGAGAAAAACCCATTATCTAGGTTCAGTACTGATTTTTCTGAATGCTGTATGAATTATTTATCTTAAGCAGTCAAAGTCTTTAAGTTCTCTGGTGCTAATGGAGTTTAACATTTTACAGAAACTTACCAGTTTCATAGTCTTAGACTTGTTATCCATACATGCTTCTATAGGTTTAAGAAAAAAAACAAAAAAAACTTTTTTTCTTTTTCTTCTGAAGACTGTGTAAACAGTTGGACAATATGAGGCAAAAGACAGACTTAAACTATACTTAAACCCATATCTCCAATCAGCTCAGGATATACTTTTCCAAGTGCAGTCTGACCCAGTCACTAATTATGCAGATCCTGGTAAGGGTAACTTAAATACTGGGTGTTTTCTAAGCAACACCAACCCCCCCCCCCAAGGAAAGGAAAGTCAGTTAACGTACAATAACCCCAGTAGGGTAAGACGCGCTATATTATCACAGTTTATGTTTTGCCTGTTTCTCTAAGATCAGAATTGTGAAATGCCATGGCGGAGCATTGAGTTCATGGTATCTCAATGAAGTAAAACATGGTAGTAATTGGAACCTACCAGTGGTAGAGGAACACTGGTGTAGCCACTCGGTGGCTGTACTCTTCAAACATAGACACTCTTGACAATTGGAGTACTGGTGAGTATTGTACTCAGTCAACTTGTTTGAGTCTGTATCGAAGGGAGTGTGCTATTTAACTGTATGTGTTTGTTATTTATGTAGGAGTCTCTTGTGTTTAAATGGATGACCTCCCCTCTGAATTCCTGTTAAGAAGTTTGGCTGGGTAGGGTGAATGGGGCCAAACTAGATAGTATGTAAAGCAGCTGGTGATGTAAAGCAGCTGCATTATCACTTGCACAGTATTTTAAGACGTATTCGTTTTCTCCCCTTAGAACTGTCCTCCGTGTCCTAATGCAGATTTCTCTCCCTTTTCCCAACTATCATTTATAGAGTCATACATTTTTGGAGATGGGGAGAGAGGGAAATTTTGAACAGATTTTTGGTACCTTGTCCTTCTATTTTCCCCTCTTTGTTTGATAACCTTAGCTGTGATTTAAAGTATCAATGCCTGTGCCTCTTATTATAGCGGTCTTTATGGAGTTTGTTTAACACATCTACCAGTTTATAATCTGTAAAGTCTCCTTACACTATCCTTTTAAATCTGGTGAGAGAGTCTTGCAAAAGTTCTTGTATTTACAAGTATAATAAGCTGTTTTTTTAAATATTCTACTTTTTGACCTAAGAAATATACATCTTGGTGATAGTTCTCTTAAATATGTAAGATTTTATTATTTAAATTGGAATACTATTGTAAATGACAAAGCCTAATAGAAGTAGGAAATATGGTGCGTGTGACACATTATACTCTGCCCGTGGATCATTAACACTGCTGATATTGTACTTTCTGCGTATTTAAAGTTTCTAATGTAGAGTTTAAACTCGGTACAGGACTGATGCAACCACAAAGAAAGCTTACATGGGAGACATTCAGAGCTGATACCCTTAAACATTAGTCAGATTACTTCTTTTAATCATCCTTAGTTGCTAATACAGAATTAACTCATCCGATTTACTTTTACAAATGCTCTAGCTGCAGTTCTAGAATTGTTTTTGCATGTCACGCATGATAATGTAAGTTCAGTTTGTGGATCGAAATGAATACAATTTAAGTGCTAAACTACTCAGTTGCCATCTCAGATATATCTTGATTGTGAAATGTCATTTATTTAACTGTTTTGAGATTGTTATTGTTGAAGAAGTGAGAACTCTGTGCTGAGGTGTATAGTGTTTGTGCAGCCATGCTACCCTACCAGAATCTAACTTTTCTTTTGAGAAATAATTTATGCTGTGATGAATGGAATCAAACATGAGAGATCGAGGACCAGAAGCAGAAGAGCTTGTGCACCACAACTGCCGCAAACTTATAAAAAATTCTGGAATAAAGCTCAACTAAACCAAATGCGAAGCAACGTGTTGACTGCCCTAGTTTGCAGCTTCACACTTTGTGACACAAAGTCAATGTAGGCTTAGTACACAACGTTCTCTATTTATGATCATCTTGGCATATTACAGTATTGTAAATATATCAGATCTTATGATTTTAGAAGCAGGTTTTAATTTCCTTTTCCTTTAAATGTCTGTTGTCTCTCTGAAGACCTGAAGTATATTTATAAATTCAAACAGCCATAATGTGTGTTACACGCGCGTGCTTGCCATGTTGCTGCTGTCTGCATTTTCCAGTATAATGTATTGCAAATGCAGCTTTCTTTTTGCCTCTCAAGGTGTCGCCCTGCAGGGCGGGAAGCAGGGGCAGTTACCAGTGCTATATATGTATGTGTATATATGGTCATAACTGTAAGATGGAAAGACTCCTTCCATTGGCTGCCTATAAACCCAATGGTCCTATTTCCTGAGGGATTTAAATTTGGTATTAAATAAGATGAGGGTAGCCTTTTGGTTTTGATTATATTACATACTGTTTATGATAAAATATACTGATACTCTGGTGCAAAATAATAGTTGGTGTTATGATCTGTCATGTTTGAATGCAAATCATTACGTTTGTGCTCCTGGTTTCCTAGAAGTGTTGATAGATTGATGTTTAATATATTTTATAACTAATGCACAGCCATATTTCTGACCAATATTTTTAAATAAACTAATTAAACTTTTGCAGTAAAAGTTGCATTTATATTCATACCTAAGACTACCTAGAGGAATTACTAGTTAAAGGATCTAGAATGAATTGGCATAGTAGTCTCCAAACTTGCAGATTGCAAAGCTCTTAATAAGCCTTGGAGGGCTGACTCACTCGTATGGTGCATGATCTTCTTGATTACAACTATCAAAATCAAAAGAAGCTGAAAAATAAATTTAAATAACCCATGTCAGTAGTTACCATAAACTGGTGGACTGAATTTGTCATCAGTGAGAGAAGAGGTGGTGTGCATGATTGTGAATGGAAGG